AATAATACATGCTTAGTTTAGTCAATCAACTTGTATTTTACAAATTGTTGATGCACAAAACCGGAGGTCTTGGAATAACGTAAATCCGATCGTGAATCTGCAAGAAAGTAAATAACACAAGATGTATCGTGGTTCACCCCAATGTTTGGGCTACGTCCACACTGATATTGTATTTCTCTGTTTGTGAGCCTTGTGGCTTTGTATGTGAGGAAGAGAGCTTCTGAGGGTGAGAGAGCTCTCTCCCATGGCCTAAGAATTAGCCTCCCTTAATGAAGAGAGTGAGGAGTCCTTTTATAGAATAAGGGCTCATCACTTATTAAATATTTGCCCCTTCATTTATTACATAATTACATTTGAGTCCCCCGAGTATTTATACGAGATCTAAATACGGATGCCCTAAGTATGATACAAACAGTAGTCCCCCAAGTCTTCAGTCAAGAGAGTATTTTGGCTGGAGACTTGAAATTCAGTCCATGTGTGGGCTGAAGTAACTAGATGTCGTCTTAAACTGATACTCGATATGAGGCGGTGCTCAATCTGAAATGATGCTCAACTAGAAGTAGCACATGTTGCGAGGCTGCTCTGCTTGTGGCTTATGTTGCCTTGGTTGGCTCGGCTTGTGGCATTGAAGGTGAGGGAGTCCCTTTTATAGAATAAGGGCACGCTCCTCAATACATAAATGATGGGCTAGAGTTGATGCTCGCGACGAGTCAGTTGCTCAACAGGGGACGATGCTCTCTAATGATGGTGAGGGAGTCCCTTTTATAGAATAAGGATTCACTCCTCAGTACATGAATAATGGGTGTTCTCTAATGAAAGTGAAGGAGTCCCTTTATAGAATAAGGGTTCACTCCTCAGTACATGAATAATGGGTGATCTCTAATGAAAGTGAGGGAGTCCCTTTTATAAAATAAGGAATCGATCCTCAGTACATAAATAATGGATGCTCTCTAATGAAAGTGAGGGAGTCCCTTTTATAGAATAAGGGCTCGTTCCTCACTACATAAATAATGGGCTATGTCCCCCAAGTATTTTTCATGAGGCCCAATATATGGTATATAGTGTAGTCCCCAAAGTCTTCAGTCAATAAAGGTTGTTGGCTGGAGACTTCAAATTCAATCCATGTATAAGCCGAAGTGGCGGTTGTTCAGAGGCAGTATTTGTATACCCTGCACTAAAGCTTTGTAGGTGAAGCTTTGCAAGTGAAGCTTTGAAGCTGGAGCTTTTGTAAATGAAGTTTTTGAAGCTGGAGCTCTGTAAATGAAGCTTTCGAAGCTGATTTGACATGAGTGATGCTCATGAATGTTTATGTTGATTGACATGAGTGATGCTCATGAATGTTTACATAAGTGATGCTCATGAATGTTGACATAAATAATGGTCATGAATGTTTATGTATGATTGATATGAGTGATGCTCATGAATGTTTATGTATGATTGATATGAGTGATGCTCATGTATAATTTTGGAGTACTGGACGTACTTTTGATCACCTAGTGGGTGATAATAGCGGTAGGCTGCCGAATAATTTTCGAGTACTGGCCATACTTTTAATCACCTGGTTGGTGATAATAGCGGCAGGTTGCCGAATAATTTTGGAGTACTGAGCGTACTTTTGATCACCTGGTTGGTGATAATAACGGCAGGGTGCCGAATAATTTTGGAGTATTGGGCATACTTTTGATCACCTGGTTGGTGATAATAACGGTAGGCTGCTGAATAATTTTTTGTAGTACTGGACGTACTTTTGATCACCTGGTTAGTGATATTAGAGGGCCTGGCTCTTTTAGGCATATGGGCCTTCGCCCATGACATTCCAGCCCATTATTTTGGGCTTGCCGTTTTTTTTTATTACCCTCTGATGGGGTTTATACAGATGTCTCCGAAAGATAAGAAAAATAAATTACATCATTCAAAACAAAGGTTTCGACAGTTGCAGATCGTTGGTGCGTACTGCACCTATTGCGTACTGGGTTGTTGAAGATCTTTTTCCATGTGCGTATTCCAGTGGCTTTTTCAGAAAAGTGGAAACATGCATGATGAAAGTTTTATTTTTCAAAAGTTGATGGCATCTTCTGCTTTAGTGGTCGATAAAAGCAAAAGTATAATCATTTCCTTTCTCTTTTTATTCCTTGCTTTTGCTTTTGTTTCCTACAGCTCACTTGATTGCTTTTGCCTTTCCTCATCTTTGTTGCTTTTGTTTTTGTTTCCCATGTGCTCTCGCAGAGCAAAGTTCCATAAATGCAAAATCTCTCCCTTTACATGGTGCTTTGCCAAGGCCGGAAAGTTTAAACCATGTGTGCATCATTCATGAGGTAGGGCTTTCTGCTTTTTCTTCTTTTTTCTGCTTTCTGCAATTATCTCAGTGGGTAGCCATGCTTTCTGCTTTTCCTTTCCATTATTCTCATACCTGGCACCACCAAAATTATTACCAGAAGGCACCGGCAGCGGCTGATGCCCACCTGGATGCATGGTCTTGCTGATGCATGGTCCGATGTTCATAGAAAAAATTCAATCTCTGATACAAACCTTTATCAGAACATGGTAACTTATTGCCAATTGGCACACATGAAACAGGAACCCAATCATTTTGATTTAGCTAAGCTGCTTGCGCCACAGCAAATTCGACAGCAGCAGCATCAACAATGGAATATTTTGGATGGCGGCTTAAGGTCGCTGGTGGTGGTGCCCTCGGAGTCGAAGGAGGCAGTGCAGTGGAGGATGCCGGCATAGGCGCAGAAAGCATCGGAGCTATGGGCGTGGTCAGGGGGTGGAAGACACGAATCCTAGGCTCACTATCCCTTGCTCCTTGTAATATTCATTGACCTTTGAATTCAGAAATCACAAAACGATGAGAATTGGAAATGTGGGTTCTGACCTTTGAATCTGAAACAATCATTCAGTGGTCGATTCAAGGATCTGAAAATACAGAAGAACCGAATCTCTGAGACATTTTTTGTTCTTCTGTTAAAATGCAGAACTCTCATAGAACCCACCTACATCAAATACCTTTGTACATTTACTCAATCGATATTAAGTTTAAATGGGACAGCCAGAGAGTTGAAGAAACGGATAATCCCATGAGAATCGCTTCGATGAAGAAAATCACTCCGGATATGATTATGGTGTAACAGCGGCCGACCCAGTCGGAAGTTCTTCTGGCCATGGCAGACCTAATGAGGGAGCAAATTTCAATAACACCCATCAGGATCTCGATTTACGTGTCCGTGATCTTGAGGTCCTTTTCGATGTAGATCGAAGCTTTGATCATCACGCCAATATCATAACCTATCAGGATTGAAGTCATGGAGGCCAGAATAGCATAGGCGAGCACATACAGGTTTTCTTGGAGACGGCGATGGGTCGATTCAAATGGTGGTTGGGAGAGATCGAATGGTGGTCGATGGAGAACCGGACGTACGGAGACGGAGAGGATGAGGTGTAAAGGTTGACAAGCGTTGGAGAAGCAGATCTGTGATGGTGATGGTGGTTGATCTGCTTATTGTAGTAGTGGTGGTCCTCTGGTCGATGGTGTGGACATCGATATCGGTGGTCTCTTTGGCGTCGAAGAGAATGGAATGGCAGGTGAACGGCCTCTTGCTCGACCCCGACGGCTTAGTATCAGCTTGTATCACAGATTTTATAGCTTCTAGCTGAGCAGCAATCGAGGTCGCCATGTCTCAATAGTGCTTAAAAAAAGAAAAATAATTTACCTACAAAAAAAAAATGTTATTTGATTTAGGAATAATTTACCTACAAAAAAAAATGTTATTTGATTTAGTGCACCTACTATTCAAAATTTAAAATGTTAGATGCTTAAAAAAAGAAAAATAATTTACCCAATAAATGTAAAATACATGGAAAATAATTTACCTACATAATAAGGCAAACCCAATAGATGCAAAATAATGTGCCTATACAAAAAATAATATTTTTTATTCAATACTAGTTTACCTATTATTTGTACATATAATAATAAAATGTGCTCAATATATGATACATACAAAATAAAATACCTACATAATGAAGAATGTTATTTGATTCAAAATTAATTTACTTACAAAATAAAGTAATTTTATTTGATTTAAAATTAAATAACATTCTTTTATTTAATTAGTTTACCTACTAATTAAATAAAAGAATGTTATTTGATTCAACATTAATTTACCTACAAAATATATGTTAGTTGCTCATCATAAATTTACATATAGGTAGATTAATTAGTATAAAATGTTTGAACATATATGTAGTACTGCACACACAAACACACACACACACACACACACATATATATATATATATATGTTAGGGGTAATAATATGTGTAATAACTATTTGTTCATTGTAATTAAGGTGAGTAATTACATTTATTGATTTATTTTGAATATTGTGGCACAAGTTGTAAATATCTTGTAATAGGTCAATTATTTTCTACTTGGCAGTCATTTTCAAAATTAGGTTTTATTTGGAAGTTTATAACTATGTGGGTTTTTGTCTAGAAAATAAAAGTTGCAATGATCTATTTCTAAAGAACCCTATAAAATATAGAGAAATACCATTAAACTATAATGTAATAAACCATTATCTTTTACACTATATTTTTGTCTAGAAAATAAAAGTTGCAAGGATCTATATCTAAAAAACCCTTTAAAATATAGAGAAATACCATTAAACTATAATGTAATAAACCATTATCTTTTACACTATATATGAGGTTGACAAATGACAAATCGTTGTCCTTAATGGATGGTTGGAGTATTTCATTATATTTGTTAGAATTAATCCATGATATGGTGTGCCACGTACGTCTAGGATCACCAAGTTGATTATGAAGAGTTGAGTGGGTTGATGAAGTTTGAAACAACTATTCCTCAGAAAATTTTAGACATGCATTTCCTTCTTGAGCACGTAGGGGAGATTTAATCTGAACCATTCATTTCAACCGTAAGACATCTATAAATTGACTCCTTCATTAAAAGAGAATGTATTCGTACTTGACTTGAGAGTTTGGTTATTGGTTTGTCAGGGTTAATCTGCAGATCATGGCTAATCAAGTTTATTGTGTGGTTTTACTATCTCTTACTTTGTTAAGTTTGGCTATTCATGGAAGCTTGTGCTTCCCTGAAATTAATGAAGATAACAATGGCTCTCCAAGTACCACTGCTGGTAAGGGAAAAAGATGGGCAGTTCTTGTTGCAGGATCAAATGGTTACTACAACTATAGGCACCAGGTTTAAGCTTGTCCAAACTTTTGATTAATTATAGTATTATTAGTAAATTATTTATCTTAATTATGTTACAAGTAATAAAATTTAGGGTTACTTTTTAATCTTTTATCGTTCCATGCAGGCTGACATATGCCATGCGTACCAGATACTTAAAAAAGGAGGACTGAAAGACGAGAACATCATCGTTTTCATGTACGATGATATCGCGTACAACTCGGAAAATCCTCGAAAAGGTGTCATCATCAACAAGCCAAACGGACCTGACGTTTATAAAGGAGTTCCCAAGGTTGTAACTAATGTTCTGAGTTTGATTTTTAATTTCTAGTTGGTTAATTTGTTAGTTTAACGTTGTTTAATTACCTGTAAGTATTTTTTTTTCTTTTTCTAATGCAGGATTATACAGGAACTCATGTTAACGCACGCAATCTCTATGCTGTAATTCTTGGAGACAAAAGTTCTCTTACCGGAGGAAGTGGCAAGGTTCTAAGTAGCGGTCCGAATGACCATGTTTTCATATATTATGCAGACCATGGTTCTGTAGGATTACTTGGTAATTAGTAGTTTTTTTTATTTTTGTTTTATTAACTTTGAAAATATATATTTTGTGATCTTATATAGTCCCATAAATTCAGTAAATTTGGTTCTTCGGGTTGCATATGAACGGTATATTGTGTTCAGGGATGCCTAGTGATCGTGTTTATGCGAAAGATCTCATAAGTGTACTGCAGAAGAAGAATGCTTCTAAAGGTTACAAAAGCATGGTAAGAATTTTCACTTGAGTAACAGTCTTACTGAAGTTTTCAACTCTTTTTTTGATGATTTTCATGTATTTTTCTGAGGTTTTGATGCATTTATGTGAAAAAAAAAAAATTAGGTATTTTACATTGAAGCTTGCGAGGCAGGGAGCATGTTTGAGGGCCTCCTTTCAAGTAATCTGAATATTTATGCTACCACCGCATCGAATGCAGAAGAGAGTAGTTATGGAACATATTGTCCCGGTGACCTATCAGTTCCTGCCGAGTTTGATACTTGTTTGGGAGACTTGTATAGCATTTCCTGGATGGAGGATTGGTAATGCAGTGCCTTTCTTTATGAAAATGCTGTTCTAATGAAACAGAGTACATTACTTTGCCAGTTTCAAATACATTTTCGATCAAATGCTCATACTAATTACTTTGTTGTTTCGGTGACTTTTGGACCATATCTTCACATTTGAGAGCAGTGACTTAAGTGATTTGCATAAAGAAACTTTGGAGAATCAATATCAAAGGGTAATATTTTGACAATTTCTCGTATGTAAAATATTTATGGATATCATCTCTAATGTTGGTGAAATTAGAATAATATGACCATCTGACCATGTCGATTGAATTACAGGTTCGGAGAAGAACAACTAATTCGCATGTTATGCAGTACGGAGATATGAGTCATAAACAGGAGCTCCTCTTTGCTTACATGGGTGCAGATCTTTCTATTCGTAGCCTTACTTCCACCAGCGATATCTCTTCACCCTCAATCTCAAGGGCTGTTAACCAACGTGACACGAAGCTCCTCTACCTTCAGCAAAAGGTTTCTGCTCTTCTTTTATTCTGAATTCCAAACTTCAATGTGTTTAATTTTCATGTATACACGTATATGTATTGATTAGTGCATGCCAAACTCTCCGGCTAGAGAACTTTTCGTATGTTTTTGACATTTTGTACTTTTCGTTTATAACTATAAACTTTATATGTTTCAGCTGCAAAGAGCTCCTACTGGATCTCAAGAGAAACAGGATGCTCAGAAGCAGCTGCTGCTTGAAATTGCTCATAGGAAAAACGTGGACTATAGCATAACGAAACTGGGGGAGGTTTTGTTCGGACACGAGAAGAGCTCAAACGTTTTAATGAATGTTAGGCTACAGGGGCAACCTGTGGTAGATAATTGGGACTGCTTCAAGAACTTTGTAAGTTCATCTCCCCTAATTCTATACATCAAATTGATACAGACAACACTCAAGTGCTTGTGCTTCTTTGTTCAGTTTTTTGAAGTAAATCAACAAGTTTTATATCCGAGATAATTGATTTTGAGTTCTTTCCATGCAGTTGAATATTTATGAGAAGTACTGTGGACATTTATCTGTATACGGAATGAAGTACACGCGAGCTATAGCCAACATATGCAATGCTGGGATTACCACAGAGAAAATGGTTGCAGCATCTGATCAAACTTGTGCCAACAAACCCAATGTCTAGAACTTCCTTTCTGATCAGATAAATGATCAATTTATGTATGTGTGATGTGTTGGATGCTAAACCATTTCTGGAGTTGATCTTGAAGAAATTGCAGCAGCTAGACCAAGAAAGCCAACGGCTATTTTCTTTTGAAATGTAACGGCTAGTTTAAGTTAAGTGATAGTTTTTACTAGTGTAAAGCTTAGATTAAATGCTCCAATGAAGGGCTAAGATTAGCTTTGTACGAACAGGTTGGTGAGCATTTTGTCAGCTAGCTCCAATGGAGATAAGGGCTGACTGTGCAATCCCAAAACCCTATAAATTACATATATATGTGTGCGCGTGTGCTATGATCAATACATGTATGTGTGATGCGAATAAGAAAAAAGAAATAATACAAAATATTTTGGGAAATTGTCTTGCAAGGCTAATCATATGAAGCAAAATCTCTACTGAGAGAAAAGGATTAAACTAAAGAGCAAAAAAATTAGTTATGTATACCACCGTAGAACAAGTTTGATCATGTTTAATTGTTGATTTGGACTCTTGACGTGAAGATTCATTCTTCGTTTCTCTTAAATAATTTCAAGTTTGGTATACCAGTATAGCGAAAACCTATGTTGGATTTGGTAAAGAGAATTAAATTGCAAGAGAGAAAAAACACGTCTAGTTTCACTCATAAGTTTTGGGAAATGAGGACAGAATAAAAAGTGTTTCTGTTGTGCGAGAAAAAACTTATTTTTGCTGCTTCACGTTTTTAGCTTTTTTTCACCAAAATTGTGAAAATAAGCTGTTTTTAAGTGTTTACCAAACACATTTTTGAGCTCAATTTTTTTATACCTACCTTTTATAAAAGCATCTCAGTACCAAACCAGTACTAAGTATTGGGAAGATGTTTGGTCGGGGCATTTTTGTTTAGAGTTCGGTTTCCCTGCTTTATTATCTGTCTAGTTTCCAAAAAATTTCCATTTGTAACATTGGGCAGAGGAATGGCAAAATGGAAGTTCAGTTTAGGGCAGACCTGAAAGAACCTGAGGTAATTGAACATCCTCTGTTAAAGGTATATGCCTTCATCCGTCCCATGCCGATTCTCAGAAATGGTCTCTGGACTCCGATGGGAGGTATTCGTGCATTGTCTCCTCATACGCGAGTATTTCCAGTCTCATTTGTTCATCAAATATATCATATCTTAAATTCAACTAATAAAAATACAATACTAGTTCCAAACTAATTTCAGAATCACAGACAATCATCTAATTCTCCTCCTCTTCAAAGTTCTGGCTTGCCTTCTAACATTTCTCACCTTGCTTAATTGAAGACGTCTAGAACTTCTCACCATTCGAGACCTGCCCACAACGCGAACAGACCTTCCCCTAGACTTTAACCTTACAGGGCGATGGCTGCGAGTACCATGCCTACTTGAAGGCTAAATCGAGCTCTGCAGCCTGTCCTTTCTTCTCCTGTTGACTGACTTCCGCTTTCTATTGACGTTCAAGTTATGATAGTTATCCCACAAGTCATTTTCTTCACTCGAACTGAAGCCTTGTTCTATGTCTCGAAATTGGCGGTGGCGGCGATGGCGGTGGCGACGTCGGTCTATCCTCCTAGTGTTCCTTAGCTTGTACGACAAGAAACAAGTAATATCTTCCAATGCAAACCAATACGTCTCACATGCAGCCCAACACATTTTACATAGGCTTTTTCCAATGCATTGGAAGATCCCAGCTTGAATAACAGATAAAAGAACAATAAAGCTGAAAGAAAATAAAAGATATGAGTACTTAAGCAACAAACCAACCCTTCTGAAAGTGAAGCTCAAATTTAAATGCTCTTCGGAGATAATCTTTGAATCGAAGAAAATAGTGAAATTAAGATTAAACTAATTAAAGAAGGAAGAATTACTTATGTAGCAGAGGATCAATATCATTAACAGTCTCAACAGATTGGAGCGGAATCGAAAATATTATAGTATTAGTTGTGAAGTATAATCCAAAGGTAAATGTTGCATACAGTCACATCATCTTTGCTTGAAAATGAACATATGCAAGCAGAGTAGTGTTCATCCTCCCATCTTGCGTAGGGGAATACTTCCCCTTTCGATCTGCATCAATGCCTATGATCCTAACGCATTGTTTGTCCACTCAACAACCTCAGAACATAAAGTGCCTATCAATAAGTAAAAATATGAACGCCATTGGCAAGACAAGGACATATAAACTTAAACTTCATGTATAGTGTATCTGTACTATCATGAAGGGCATTACAATAATTAAGAAGTGCATTACGAAGAAATTCCTTCTGCCAACAAAGTAATTCACCAAAATATTTTACCATCCAAGTAAGTTTATGAGAAAACGGAAAAAACAAAAAATGTTATACAAAGGAGACTTATAGGGGCCTCTGAGTCAGCGTAACAAACAAACTACTGCAGATGAAATGAAGTAAGCATCTACTCCGGCAAAGGTGTAGGACATAAAGCATCATACTAATTTTCTTCTGAAATTAGGGCATTTGGTTGGTTGGACAGAACATGATCAAGAATAAAGAGAACAATACAACTTTACAACTTACTCGCACGAGGTATTGATTAAATGGAGCCAAAAATGCTTTCTCAAGTAGATTGCCGACCCCATTTGCAGCTTTACTAACAACATCCCATTACGATACAAGTTCAAATGAATGTGTTTCCTGCTGCCAACTCCTTTCTAATTGCACTGTGACAAGAAGTCCAACGTTCTTAAGTTAAAGACTAGAGCCCTAGTTAGTTTTGTATAAAATGGTTGTGGAGATCAAAATCATACTGCACGAATACCAAAAGATCCAGTGACAAAACCAAATTCTATTTTTCTGCTAAATTTTGTGGTTAAGTAATAATGCAATGACGGTTACAAATATGAAATTATCAAATAGGAAATTCTATATATACTAAAACCCAAACCCCGGGTGGTACTGTTCTAGGGCAGTGTGCGGACCAAAATGCCCCTTAAATTGGTCTTCCCGGTGTTTTTTTCCTACTCTCTGCACAGCAAAATGGCCATTTTGCCCAATTTTCTTTAGCCCATTCTCTGTTTTGGTTTTGCTCTCATCTCCCCTTTACGCTCACTCTTCCTCTCGGGTTCTTTGTTGTTCTTCGCTATCTTTGGTTTGGAATATATTGGGCCAAGTTTCAGATTTTCCTGCTTTAGGGGATCGTGTTTGTGGTCTGTGATTTGAAGGAGGTTTTCCATTTGTATAAACCTAGGGTTTTGGGTGTTTTGTCCTCCATGGTAAAATTGCTTCGCACAATTTCTGGGGTTGCGATCAACGGTGAATATTTTGCGGTGTTTGCGTTTGTTTCCCTCTGTTCTTCACCGATATTGGCCGGATCTGTTTCCGGATTTGTTTTTGGTTTGACGGAGGGAAATCTATTTTTGGCGATTTAGGTGTGTGCTGTGTTTGGTTTTTGTTTTGAGTTTTGCTTGATTTGGATGAAATTGTAACCATTTTGTTTTGGGTTGGTTCTGATCCTGTGCTAGGTTTTCCTCGCTGAGAGGATATTTTGCATTTTGGTTCCTTCGTTGATCAGTCGCAAATTTGGCAGTGTCTCTGGCGGTCCTCTTATTTTTTGGGTAAATCTCCTTCCGCCAAAAACAATTTCCTTGCTATTTTTACTACTTCGTTCTCCTTCTTCTTCTTTATTATTATATACCTTCTGTTTATTTAACATGTTTGTAAGATTGGTTTATCATTTATGCATGTTTTTATACAATTGTTGCATATTTCATTCATATTTTACATGTATATGCTTCACTTTTATCAAGTACGTACTTGAGAGATTGGTAGCTTAATTTTTGGGTGAGTTTTTGTCATCATTTTTTTGTACGTCTGGGAACCCGTCGATAAGTGTTAGATTAGAGTGTGTTTGTAATTTTTGGAACAAATCAGAGGAATGATTGGAGTTTGGGTAAATTTGATGTTAGGTTAAAATTTCTTTGTAATTTTAGTATGCTGTGCATTACCCATTCGGAAATCACGCTTGAGCAGTGGTGTTGCACCATTGTGCTATTTTGCAAAGTTCCAAACCAGCGGAAGAAGATCGCTAACACTTTGTTTAGACAGAACCGTTTGTTTTGGCCAAAATCAAAAAGGAAAAAAAATACTTTTAACCAAATGGTGTGTTTTCTTTCTTCTTTGTCCATTTTGCCTTAAAACATTTAACCAGAACATGACAATTTCACTGAAAAAAAATCCCATTTTCCTACTTTTGATTGAATTGAGCAAAGCATTTTAAGGCTTTGTATAAAAGATTATATAAGCCAACTAAGAATCCTATATTTTCCTACTTTTTCAATGAATCAAATATGTTCTTTCAAATTAGTACCTCAATCTTCTTTCTGCTGTTACAATTAGTGGGTTAAGTGATGTAACAGATTTGTTTATGTTTCTGTGGAGATTTTATCGTTTTTTTCTTTGGAATTCTCTGCAGATCAATATCATGGTAGAAAAATCTCTACTGCGTGTGAATTCGGATTAGAATTCTTTGGCACTTAGCTGATTTTTGTTTATCAAATTGACTGGCCATTCTATATATTTGTAAGTGGTTTTGCCTTTGTATAAAAGATTATATAAGCCAACTAAGAATCCTTTTTTTTTTCTACTTTTTCAATGAATCAAACATGTCATTTCAAATTAATACCTCCATTTTTCTTTATGCTGTTAAAATTAGTGGCTTAAGTGATGTTACAGATTTGTTTATGTTTTTGTGTACATAGACAAACCCATTCCTGCAAAGTTTATGTTACTAATTTGTTTCAACATCTCAACATTCGTTCATTTGATTTAAATATTCTTCTATAACAAGTTAAAACTTTATTTTTTCGGTACCTTATCACAAAATAATTCCACCTTGGACAAATTACAAGGTATGCTACAATCTATGCTTTCATAAATTGCATTCAAATTGATTCACTTAAGAATGCATTGGAACATGTTTAGTTTCATGCCCGCAGCATCGCGCGGGTACCATTTCTAGTTGAGTAAACTGTCGGTTTACCCCCTGAACTTTCACCTCACTTTCGATTTCCCCCCTGAACTTTTCCATTGGAAAATTAAGGACTCAAACTAATTTTTTTAGCCAATTGCCCCCTACCGTTAGTTTTTCATATATTCCATCCATATTTCCGTTAAGTGAGACCATGTGCACAACATGTGAGGGTAGTTAAGTTATTTCACTCTTAAAAATGATTAAAAAACTAAAAATAATAAAAAAAGCAAAACTTTCCCTCTATTTTTTCCCGCTAATTCCTATCCTCGATTTTATTTTTCCCTCTCATTCCTATGCATGAGAAATGACATATGGTGTTATTGTCTACCATTTTTATTTTCTCTAACAAATTAATAATTTGACAAATGCTAATGGTGCTATTGTCTCCAAAGCAGTGCATTAATATAAGAAACCCTAGTCTTTTTTATGGACATGTTTCTTATATTAATGCACTGCTTTGGAGACAATAACACCATAAGCATTTGTCAAATTATTAATTTGTTAGAGAAAATAAAAATGGTAGTACATGCTTCAAAAAAAAGATTAACTTAGCTACTTATGAAGACAATAACACCATATGTTATTTCTCATGCATAGGAATGAGAGGGAAAATTAAAATTGAGGATAGGAATTAGCGGGAAAAAATAGAGGGAAAATTATTATTATTATTTATTTTCAGTTTTTAATCATTTTTAAATTGAAATGACTTAACTATCCTCACATGTTATGCACATAGTCTCACTTAACGGAAATATGGATGGAATATATGAAAAACTAACGGTAGGGGGCAAATTGGCTAAAAAAATTAGTTTGAGTCCTTAATTTTCCAATGGAAAAGTTCAGGGGGGAAATCGAAAGTGAGGTGAAAGTTCAGGGGGTAAACCGACAGTTTACCCTTTCTAGTTTATACATACTAAAACCAAAACTTAAGTGTTACTGTTCTATAACAGTAAAATGTCGAAATTGCCCTTAAAAAGTTTCCTTTTGTTCGTTTTCTTTCCTGCTTTCCACAGTTAAAGGACGGTTGTGCCCTTTACTTCCGCGCGTCTGTCATCGCCGCTTTCACTTCGTTTTTCAGTTCCTTTTCACCGCTTTTAGTCGAATTCTTTCCCGTTGCATTTGGTTCTCTTCTTTTCCAGCCGTCTGCTCTCTCCCCCCTCTCTTCTCTCTTCGCCTCGCTTTGTCTCAGAGTAGATAGTTTTGCGGTGAGTTCTTCTAATTTCGCATCTGGGGTTTTTTTTTTCCGACTGTATAGATTGTGTTCTCTTGATTTTTAAATGGTAGAAGCTTTTTGGGTTCAATTTCTACCTGTTTTCAATTCGATTCGAATTGTTTATGGGCTGATCTGATCGACCATTTTGAGGTAGGTTTTGTGTGTTTGTTATCGCGTGTGGTTTCGGTTTCGTGTGTTTCCTCGCATAGTTTTTTGCATGTCTGATGTCGTTTGGTTTTCGATTTCAGAGATTTTTCCCCATTTTTATTCGGTTGGAAATTGGTTTGGACTGATCTAATCCGGCGTTTCCAGGTAAGCATTGCATGTTTATCAGTCTATATGGTTTCGATTTTCTGTGTTTGGTATGATAGTTTCTCTAAATGTCTGATGCAAATTGGTTATCAGTTTCAGGAAACGGTGCCTTTGAAAATTTGGGAGTTTCGATTTCGTTTTCCCAAGTTCTCTGTGTTGAAGGTATTTGAATGTGTTTTAATTTAGTTTGTTTTGCTTGCGCCTGGTTTTTTTTTTTAATTTTGTTTTGCTTATTTGGAAAGATTTTCTGTCATGTTTTAATTTCGCCTGGGGACTGCAATTTCATCTGCTCCAAACAAATAGATTCTTTTTATTCTGAATTTAGAAAATTATATTCGAATTTGTTTTACATCTAATTCAGTTGGATTTAGGGGTTGTGTTTTAGTGTTTCCTGGCCTGAGTTGTATATAAAGAAAAAGAGTGATTTTTTTTGTATCCTAAATAGTTCATCAGGATCATAGACATGAGTCTGATATTATCAGGTAAGATGCTGAGTTCTCTTGCATTCATATAATTACATTTGTGAGCTGCTTTTCTGGGTTTTTGTTGATTTTGTTTGCTTATCTGGAATATACAAGAAGAGTGACACTGCCACCAACATTATCAATTTATACACGAAAAACGTAACACTTGGGCCAATCTAACCATTTATTTTGAGCACGTCGCATTAGCAAAATAATAAAACATATGACAGCGGGTTTTTTCAAGTCAATTTTTTGTTGGCATGTTGTTGTTCATGTAAGTGTTGATTGATAAATGTGAGTGCTTTTGGCATTTCATGACAAAGAAGAAGAAGAATAGTAACATTATGAGTCAGAGATATTTCTCATTCTCCGGGTGAAATACGGATATCAATTCTCAAGATCAATGGTGTTTTATACAAAACTAACTAGGGCTCTGGTCTTTAACTTAAGAATGTTCGACTTCTTGTCACAGTGCGACTGGAAAGGAGTTGGCAGCAGGAAACACATTCATTTGAACTTGTATCGTAATGGGGGATGTCGTTAGTAAAGCTGCAAATGTGGTCGGCGATCTACTTGAGAAAGCATTTTTGGCTCCATTTAAGACTATGTTCAATACCTCGTGCGAGTAAGTTGTATTGTTCTCTTTATTCTTGACCATGTTCTGTTCAACCAACCGGATGCCCTAATTTCAGAAAAAAAATTAGTATGATGCTTTATGTCCTACACCTTTGTCGGAATAGATGCTAACTTCATTTCATCTGCAGTAGTTTGTTTGTTACACTGACTCGGAGGCTTCCTATAAGTCTCTTTTGTATAACATTTTTTTTTCCGTTTTCTTATAAACTTACTTAGATGGTAAAATATTTTGGTGAATTAATTTGTTGGCAGAAGGAATTTCTTCATAATGCACTTCTTAATTATTGTAATGCTCTTCATGCTAGTACAGATACGCTATACATGAAGTTTAAGTTTATATGTCCTCGTCTTGCCAATGGTGTTCATATTTTTACTTATTGATAGGCACTTTATGTTCTGAGGTTGTTGAGTGGACAAACAATGCGTTAGGATCCTAGGCATTGATGCAGATCGAAAGGGGAAGTATTCCCCTATGGGAGGATGAACACTTCTCTGCTTGCATATGTTCATTTTCAAGCAAAGATGATGTGACTGTATGCAACATTTACCTTTGAATTATACTTCACAACTAATACTATAATATTTTCGATTCCACAGGGATGTTTGTTCAGGACCTTGGGATTTGATTTGTTTCATTGAGCACCTTTGTGTCTCCAATCTGTTGAGACTGTTAATGATATCGATCCTCTGCTACATAAGTAATTCTTCCTTCTTTAATTAGTTTAATCTTAATTTCACTATTTTCTTCGATTCGAAGATTATCTCCGAATAGCATTTAAATTTGAGCTTCACTTTTAGAAGGGTTGGTTTGTTGCTTAATTACTCATATCTTTTGTTTTCTTTCAGCTTTGTTGTTCTTTTATCTATTATTCAAGCTGGGAATCTTCCAATGCGTTGGAAAAAGTCTATGTAAATTGTGTTGGGCTGCATGTGAGACGTATTGGTTTGCATTGGAAGATATTACTTGTTTCTTGTGGTACAAGCTAAGGAACACTAGGAGGATAGACCGACATCGCCACCGCCATCGCCGCCGCTACCAATTTCGAGACATAGAACAAGGCTTCAGTTCGAGTGAAGAAAATAACTTGTGGGATAACTATCATAACTTAAACGTCAGTAGAAAGCGGAAGTCAGTCAGCAGGAGAAGAAAGGACAGGCTGCAGAACTCGATTTACCCTTCAAGTAGGCATGGTACTCGCAGCCATCGCCATGTAAGGTTAAAGTCTAGGGGAAGGTCTATTCGTGTTGTGGGCAGGTCTCAAAGGGTGAGAAGTTCTAGACGTCTTCAATTAAGCAAGGTGAGAAATGTTAGAAGGCAAGCCAGAACTTCGAAGAGGAGGAGAATTAAATGATTGTCTGTGATTCTGAAATTAGTTTGTTACTAGTATTGTATTTTGATTAGTTGAATTTAAGATAAGATATTTGATGAATATATGAGACTGGAAATCCACGCGTATGAGGAGACAATGCGCGAATACCTCCCATCGGAGTCCAGGGACCATTTCTGAGAATCTGCATGGGACAGATGAAGGCATATACCTTCAACAGAGGATGTTCAATTACCTCAGGTTCTTTCAGGTTTGCCCTAAACCGAACTTCCATTTTGCCATTCCTCTGAAAGATTCCCCAATGTTACAAATGGAAGAATTTCGGAAACTAGACAGATAATAAAGCCAGGGAAACTATGCCCCAACCAAACATCTTCCCAATACTTATTCTGTCCTCATTTCCCAAAACTTATGAGAAACTAAGAATGAATCTTCACGTCAAAAGTCCAGATCAACAATTAAAAAGCATCAAACTAGGTCTAAGATGGCGTACGGAACTAATTTTTTTTTCCTCCCTTTAGTTTAATCCTTTTCTCTCAGTGGAGATTTTGCTTCATATGATTTGCCTTTCAAGACAATTTCCCAAAATTGTATTATTTCTTTTTTCTTATTCGCATCACACATACATGTACTGATCATTTGTCTGATCAGAAGGGAAGCTCTAGACATTGGGTTTGTTGGCACAAGTTTGATCAGATGCTGCAACCATTTTCTCTGTGGTAATCCCAGCATTGCATATGTTGGCTATAGCTCGCGTGTACTTCATTCCGTATGCAGATAAATGTCCACAGTACTTGTCATAAATATTCATCTGCATGGAAAGAACTCAAAATCAATTATCTCAGAGATAAAAGTTGTTGATTTACTTCAAAATCAATTGTCTCAGAGATAAATATTCATCTACACTAAAACCCTAAATACTCTGAAACATTGTTCATAAGCACAGTGTTCTTCCTGTTTTACCCCTGCTAAGTTTGCATTATTACGTTTTTACACGGACAAAAAAGCCCCGCACTCTTCTCTTTCCTCCCGATTTCTTCCTGCCTGGTCATCGTCCTGTTTTACCCCTGCTAACTTGGTGCGACTTCTCCTCACCAAGCAACCACTCTGCTCCAGATCTTTCAAATTGAAGTTCCTCTCTTTCAACCTTTGCATGTTGGATTCACATCAGCATCTCCCTATAACCTTGGAGCTTTGTTCGGATTCAAGCTTTCCGACGGTAATTGGACGATTCCTCCGACGCATGCCATCAAGGTTAGTTTGAAACGATTCCTACCTCATTGACCTATTGCATGTCAAAATCGGCTTCAAATTTGTGATATAATATAATTGGGCTTTTGAAAAAAAAAATCATGGTTTTGTCTAATCCAATTTAACGGTTAGAAATTTCGCCTAGAGACTGCAATTTCATCTGCTCCAAAAAATTGATTCTTTTAATTCTGAATTTAGAAAATTATATTCGAATTTGTTTTACATCTGATTCAGTTGGATTGAGGGGTTGTGTTTTAGTGTTTCCTAGCCTGAGTTGTATATAAAGAAAAAGAGTGATTTTTTTTGTATCGTAAAGAGTTCATTAGGATCAGAGACATGAGTATGATATTATCAAGTAAGATGCCAAGTTCTCTTGCATTCATATAATTACATTTGTGAGCTGCTTTTCTGGGTTTTTGTTGATTTTGTTTGCTTATCTGGAATATATAAGAAGAGTGACACTGCCACCAACATTATCAATTAATACATGAAAAACGTAACATTGGGCCAATCTAACCATTTATTTTGAGCACGTCACATTAGCAAAATAATAACACATATGACAGCGGGTTTTTTCAAGTCAATTTTTTGTTGGCATGTTGTTCATGTAAGTGTTGATTGATAAATGCGAGTGCTTTTGGCATTTCATGACAAAGAAGAAGAAGAATAGTAACATTATGAGTTTGAGAACTGAGACATGTGAATTGTATGTGAGACATGTGAATTGTATGGAGATAAGCAACAATTATGTGATTGTTTTTTTGTTAAAATGATTGTGTGACATTTTGATATATTGTTCATTACGAAACAAGGAAGAATAGGAAGAAAATGATATGATCTCCAACTATTTGACTTTGTTACAAGAAATATTGTTTGGTGAAATAGTTGTGTTAAGATATTGGTATAAAATTAAAAAAATTTAAATTAATTTTAAGGTGTTTCACATTCTCCGGGTGAAATCCGGATATCAATTTTCAAAATCAATGGTGTCACAAAGTGGCATATGAAGCAAGACTCTAGTACATACTACTTACGTCTGTCTACTCGTTCCAACGAAGTCGGAGAAAAAGTACTTGTTAGGATCTGACACCTTCCAATCTTCAAGCCTGCTATTAAAAAAACAAAGCCCACCAAAATCCACGTCAAATACGTACTAATCAATCCGGCATAACCTAAAATTTTGATGGAGTTACTCATCCATGAATGTATAAAACTAACATTTTCGGACATGCCAGATAACTGTAAGTTCATGATCCACGTAACAACTCAGTCCAAGCAATTATATTGTTGTAGGAAAAGGAAAAGTACTTAAATTTGAAAAACTAACAGAATCGCTATCTAATTATCTAAACACAACTTTCACTTGCCAAAAACAGAAGAAGATGCACGGGGAAGAAGAAGAAGAGGGAAGCGATATCTCAGTTGTGTGGAGTTCGGTACTGTTCGACTTTCTCTTTCTCTTTCTTTCCTTCCCCTCTCTCTCCCACTCTTACATCTACATGGAACCCAGAGGTTGTCGGCAGCGAATCCAACTCAGATCTGCTGTCGTCAATCTCGATCTATCAGCCGGATTTCACCGACATCCTTTTTGTTCTTACTCTGGAGCAGGAAAGAGAATAAATAAAAAGGGGAAGAGAGAGAGAAAGAAAGCGATAGGGAAAGAGGTGAAGAATCCAGAACAAAATCGCGCTAAAGCTAGGGCGTCACCCGTAAGTGGCGCGCTGTGTGGCCCGAGCACAGTGATAAGTGAGCAAGGGTCGCTGTATCTCCATCGGCACCCGGATGCAGTGTTAAATGAGCAAGGGGGCCGTAGAAACTTCTTTTCGAACGACTCCACTCAAAGTTGTTTGGGAGCATATGCTCCTATCAACTTTACACGGGACACACAAAAGAAGTACTTTGATCCTATTAGACGGGGGAGGGTGAAGAAGCTAGGACAGAAGGGTAGAGTTCAAGAGAGCAAAATGCGTTTAGGAACGTGGAATATAGGAACCTTAACGGGAAAATCTATGGAAGTAGTGGAAGTTATGGTGAGGAGAAGGATAAATATTATGTGCCTACAAGAAACTAAGTGGGTTGGTAGTAAGGCAAAGGATCTAGAAAACTCAGGGTTTAAACTTTGGTATTCGGGCACAAATAGAACGAGAAACGGTGTTGGCATCATTGTGGACAAGACCTTGACACAAGATGTTGTAGATGTCAAGAGGGTAGGAGATAGAATCATGGCAATCAAGATTGTAATAGGACAAGAACTTATCAATGTGATTAGTGCGTACGCACCTCAAGTAGGGTTGGATACGAGTTCGAATGAGAAATTTTGGGAAGACCTTGGAGACTTGGTGCAAGGAATTGCTCAGACGGAGAAGTTATTTATAGGAGGAGATCTAAATGGATACGTGGGCAGGGAGACAGGCAACTATGGAGGTTTTCATGGTGGCCATGGTTTTGGGGAGAGAAACGAGGATGGGGAAGCTATCTTGGATTTTGCAATGGCATATGATCTCTTCTTAGCCAACACCTTCTTTAAGAAGAGAGAAGAACATGTGATCACCTACAAGAGTGGGTCGTCAAAAACACAAATAGATTTTCTTCTAATGAGGAAAGGGGATCGTATAACTTGTAAGGATTGCAAAGTTATACCAGGAGAGAGCGTGGCTAATCAACATCACTTGTTGGTGATGGATGTACATATCAAAAGAGGGAGACAAAAGAACAAGACTTGGAAGTGCCCAAGGACTAGATGGTGGAATCTAAAAGAAGAAAAACAAGCCATTTTCAAAGAGAAGGTAATCACCCAATGTGTGTGGGATAGAGAGGGGGAAGCTAGCCAAATGTGGGATTCCATGGCTAGTTGTATCCGAAAAGTAGCAAAAGAGGTATTAGGAGAGTCCAAGGGCTTTGCCCCACACCAAAAGGAATCTTGGTGGTGGAATGAGGAGGTACAAACAAAGGTGAAGGCTAAGAAGGAATGTTGTAAAGCCTTATACAAGGAGAGGACCGATGAAAATGGTGAAAGGTATAGAAAAGCGAAGCAAGAGGCGAAGAAAGCGGTCAGAGAAGCTAAGTTAGCGGCTTACGACGATATGTATAAACGACTAGATACCAAAGAAGGAGAGTTGGATATCTATAAACTAGCTAGAGCAAGGGAAAAGAAGACAAGGGACCTAAACCAAGTGAGGTGCATCAAGGATGAGGATGGAAAGGTTCTTGCTACAGAGAACGCTGTTAAAGACAGATGGAGAGGTTATTTTCATAATCTTTTCAATGAAGGACATGAAAGGAGTGCTTCTTTAGGGGAGTTGAGTAACTCAGAAGAGTGTAGAAACTACTCTTTTTATCGTCGAATCCGGAAGGAAGAAGTGGTTGTAGCTTTGAAGAAGATGAAGCATAGAAAAGCAATAGGCCCAGACGATATACCAAATCGAAGTGTGGAAAGTTTTGGGAGAGACAGGTATAACATGGCTCACTGACCTTTTCAATAGGATTTTGAAAACGAAGAAGATGCCAAATGAGTGGCGAACGAGCACTTTGGTGCCTATCTACAAGAATAAGGGCGACGTACAAAATTGCATGAACTATAGGGGTATTAAGTTAATGAGTCATACAATGAAGCTTCTGGGAGATAGTCATTGAGCATAGATTGAGGCAAGAGACACGGGTTTCGGACAACCAATTCGGGTTCATGCCAGGGCGCTCAACCATGGAGGCAATCTATCTCTTACGAAGATTGATGGAAAGATATAGAGATGGGAAAAATGATTTACACATGGTCTTTATAGATTTGGAAAAAGCGTATGATAGGGTCCCAAGAGACATTCTTTGGAGGATTTTAGAGAAGAAAGGAGTACGAGTAGCATATATCCAAGCTATAAAGGATATGTATGAAGGAGCAAAGACTGCCGTAA